AACATTTAGACATCAATAGCTCAAGAGTTGCCGGGAAAAACCGAGAATTACTCGGTTATGATCTTACTTAATCATGTACGGTTAAACACATGGCTTTACTTAAAATTCTCAAAAATCGATCGAACACTTAACCTTAAACTGACCTTACTGACAAGATTATAACATGAGGAAGGAAGTACCTCTCAGATTGTTCGACCGAAATCAGAAAATAAGATGTGCTTCCTTGTCCTTGTGCTTGCCGTGCGTGAATATTATCTTTGCCGTGCGTGCGTATAAAAATTTTGAGGGGAATTACTTGGTTTAAGTTGCTGATCTTATAAGGGATATAAGCTGCTGAAAGGGAAAATCATATACTGAACGTGGCTAAGGAGAAAGGTGGGAAAATTTTCTAACTCATGCACATATATATGGCGTGGGGGAGAGATGGTGATGACGTTGATAATGTGTGGCCCTTTCCTTTGCCTTCCAAGTGCTACCACTTAAGAGAACTTTGGATGACTAAGCTAGCCTCCTAATTAGCCACGTTTTATGCTTATTAGTGAAGGAAACTTAATTTCCCAATTGAGAAGAAAGCCCACGACTATTATATGCTACAAGTTAGGAAAATTTTCTAAGTCACAACTTTGAATAGAATTAGGTCACGGCAATTTGGCTAATATGGTGATTAATTAAAATTTAATCACTCAACTTGATATAGGATATTATCTGTACAAAGACGAGCCGATTTGGTGAGCCGGTCGAGAAGAGCAGATTGGAAGTGAACCAAGCCGAAAGGCGGGAATCCACGTGATCGAGCAGCCCAAGGCTCGACCACACAAGCGATCGAACAATTCGAAGCTTGACTGCACAGGTGATCGAGCAGCCCGATGCTCGATCAGACCGGTCGAGCTACCCACTAATCGATCAGACCAGTGATCGAACAAGCTGAGTGATCGGGCAAGTTAATCGACATAAACCCAGACGCGTGCATAGCAGATGCGCGTGAGGATCTCTGACTGAGCTTCAGGAGAATATTTACCCCATGTGCCGGGGGGACACATGTTGACAATGTATTGGGTGATAGCGATAACCACCTCTGATAGCGCCCAACGTCCCGCAGCACCTCTGACATGTGCGCGGCGTGTCAGAGTACGGACGGGCAGCTTGGGCAGCACACGTATCCTTATCCGGGCAGCTATTAGGGCAGGTATCTCACCCCTATAAAAAGGGGATGAACCTTTCTTCCTTAACACATTCTATTCATTCTCTAAATTCCAGTATACTCATACACATACTGACTTAAGCATCGGAGGCTCTTCACCGGATCCAACCCCCAGTGTGAGAGTTATTTGCAGGTTCTCGGCGTTCTACCGGCAAGGACAAGAATCGATCTACTCCAAACCGGACCCGGACACTTACACTTGCATTATTGGCGCCGTCTGTGGGGACTTTTTGTTCAAAAAGTTGTGTTTAAAGCTCAGCTATGGCGGACGGAATCCCTATAAACTTGCAGTCGACGTTCGACGAAGCTTGGACGACGACCAGGCCATTAGGGCACGGCCCTCCTCCGGGTTTTTCTGGCCCATCGCAGACGCCAGTGACTCCCGCACCTAATTTCCAAGGTGTGGGGGCGACAACGGTGGTTCCCGGCGGAGGTGCCAGCTCCAGTCAGGTCCAGGAAGCTCGCTTAGCAGCGGCAGCGGCGATGCCACCACCACCAGATCCAACACAGCGGCAAGGAGTAGTGCAGGCACAAAAAGGAGTGCCACCACAAGTAGCCGTACAAACCCCGGGCCAGCAAGTGGTTACGATGACCCGGGAGGAGATACAGAGGATAGCAGCGGCCGCAGCGGCGCAGGCGGTGCAACAGGTCACAAGTCACACATCGCACGCCACCACTGCGCCGACAACGGCAACGGGGAACCAGGATGAGGATGTGTCCAGTTATGGGGAAGGAGGAGCTGGGAGAGATCGGGCCATGGAGAGAATGGCGGAGCAGTTGCGCCAGTTGCAAGATATGGTGGAGGGAAGGCCAGAGAGGAGAGCTCGAGGACATCCCTTTTCAAGGGAGATCCTCGTTGCTCCTTTGCCAAACAATTTCAAGTAGACCAACTTGGTGTATGACGGGTCATCTGACCCATCGAGGCATGTGAGGACCTTCGAGAATATGGCGGTGTTGCATGGATACTCTGATTCTGTTTGTTGCAGGGCGTTCTTATCGACCTTACGCGGAGGAGCGCTTGACTGGTTTCATCAATTACCTTCGGGATCGATTGCTGATTTTGAGGATCTTGCCAACAAGCTCACCAACCAATATTCGAGCGCAGTGGCACAAGAGAAGACTTACTTGACCCTTATGGCGATGAAACAGGGGGAGAAGGAGTCCCTGAGGAAGTATGTTGCTCGGTACAATAAAACATGTTTGGAAGTGCACTCCGCTTCAGATGAGGTGAAAGCAGGGGGATTGATTAGGAGTCTTCGAGCGGGGCCCTGCCGAACTTCTTTGGCAAAGACCCCGGCTCGATCATACGAGGATGTTCTAAAGCGATGTAGGAAGTACATTAATCTGGAAGAGATGGAGGTGGAGTTTGCAAAGCTCGAGGGGATGTCCCAACCAGAACCAAAGAAGGAGCAAAACTGCTCGAGGGAAAGATCACCAAGGGGAAGCTCGCCTAAGAGGAGCGAGCAGAGGAGAGCGTCTCCTCGAAGGAGGAGTGGAGATGCGAAAAGGGAAAAGAGAGATGAATGGCAGAGGAGGCCTATGGTGTTCGAGAGGCAGAGGTACCACAACTTTACTCCCTTGAGGAAAGATATGACAGAAGTGCTCGAGGCTATGGAGCAGAAGATGTCGACTGAGGACGTGACTTGGCCAAAAACAAGGTTCACCGGCCCGCATCGGCCCCGGTCGGATTTGTATTGTCGGTTTCATAAGGATTATGGTCATACCACGGAGAACTGCAGGCATTTGAAAGATGAGATCGAGAGGTTGATTCGGGCAGGATATCTGAAGGAGTTTGTCTATCACGACAGGGTGAGAGGAAAGGGCAGGAGGAGATGTAGAGAGGATTCCGAGGAGAGGAGTGATAGAGAAGAAGAAGGAGATGGAGGGGATGGTCGAGGAAAAAGGTCGAGAAAGGAGGGAGATAGAGAGGGACAAGGAGGAGGGGCCCCATTGAAGAGAGGAACGATTTACATGATTTCTGGGGGGCCGACAGATGGTGACTCGAACAGATCGAGGAAGGAGCATGCGCGAGCAGTGAAGAGAAAGAGAAAGGAGGTGGGGATTACAACGCGCATGCCAGTAATAAGTTTCAAGGCGGAGGATGCTGAGGGTGTAGTTTTGCCACACAATGACGCTCTGGTGATAACCGCGGAGGTTGCGGGCTTTGATGTAAAGAGGGTGTTCATTGATACAGGGAGTTCGGTGGATGTCATGTTCTATGATTGTTTCGTGCAGATTAACAAAAAGCTGAATACGGAGCTGAAGCCGGTAGCCACGGCGCTTTATGGCTTTAATGGAGGAGAAGTTATGCCGATGGGGGAGGTCAGTTTGCCCGTGGCGCTGGGATCAGGGGAGCTGAGGAAGGTGCGCATGGTGAGGTTCGTAGTTGTAGGGGCTGAGTCATCTTATAACATCATCATGGGGCGAACGAGCTTGAATGCATTCCAGGAAGTCGTATCCACGTACCACATGACGATCAAATATCCGGTGGGAAAAAACGTAGGGGAGATTGCCGGAGATCAACTCACTTCGAGAAGCTGCTACCAAACAACGGTTAGCAATAACAAGCAATTAGCAAGGAGACAAGCCGAGTCGAAGGGAGAAGAAATCAATCGACCAGGAGGATCAAGGTCGAAGGAGGAGAAGCAAAAAGTGGAGAAGGGTAAGGAGAA